TATGTATGTACCTATATATCTATATATGTGCAGGCACACACATGTACACGTACACACGTATATACAGACGCGAGGAACAGTTACACGTATCACGCACACACACGGACACACGTATACAGAGGCACACACACACACACGCAACACAACGACACGAGCATACATATATTGTGATTGAGTGTGCACGCAGTAAAAGTGCATACCACTACAAAGGATACAAATTTTAATTACCGGACCGACCTGTCTTCATGCGCTTGCGATCGATGGGCAGCGGCGAGGGGCGGCGGGGTGGCGAGATGGTCGCGCCACGACTCCACGCGACACGCGAACCCGCCTGCAACTTTTCCAACCAAATTTCGCAAATTTTCCGACGTCACGCGTCCGCGTCGGTACTCTCGCCTCTCTCGAGAGAGAGACCGAGGAACACGACTCGCGCGCGATTCCTTTTCCCGTTCGTAACCCGGACCGAGGGCCCGTTTCCTCGAGTCCCCGCGATTGGCACGCGAAGCGATTCGGACACACCACGAGGCTCGAGATCGCTGAGACGTCTCGAGTCTTTCGAGATCGCGCGGATATACATCGTTTTCATATATGCTTTTAAAACAACGTCCACGGATTACATCGGTTTCTAATCGGGCACACGGAAATTCGAAAGGGCTCTCCCAAGTGCATGAAAACACGGTGGTACAATGAATGTTTACTCGCTTTTTCGCGCAACGGTCATCCTCATATTGTACCGTTTATTTGGTAGTTCTACCATGTAAAACCATTTATATTTGCATATGATTAATATGTTTTACTTATAACACCCTGGCGTTTCACTCATCACCATCTGGCTCCTTCCCGTCATCCAAGACATCCGAGAAGGGTATAACGAGCAGATTACGAGCGCGTGGCGAAATGTCGAGACATCGATCGAGATCCCGGGAAAATTGCATCCGGTCGCGACGCGCGGGAATTACTGGACGCGAGCGCGGTGAAAACGGACGAGAGATCGACAAGCGAACAGAGTTGCGAGGGAAATCGACGGTAACTCGCGGATCGGAAGGAAACCGGAGAAAATGGCGTGCGTGAGGTCGGGAAGACGCGTAGACTGGTTGCACGATAGCCGAGGGCAACACGGCTGCGAGGACAGAAAGGGCCGGCGCTGACGCGCGACCCTCGTGACTGTGGTGGCGATGGTAGCGTACGGTGGCGGTGGAGGTGGCGATGGCGGTCGTGCGGCGGTGGTAGAGAGCTGCGAGGCTCGTGTCGGTGTACCTAACGCGACGAAACAACGTTCCGATTGGCAGTGTGCATCGCGTAGCGAGCTTGCGCGCCGCATTGCACGGCTGCAGTCGAGTCATTATGCAGGTACTGGCTGTCACTTCTACTCACCGTAACCGCAGACCGACGTTGACTATCGTCGAGTTCTCTATGCATCCGGCCTCTCCACGGTTTCGTCGCCCGATACAGCGGTAGACCGCTGAATATATTACACCTCGTTTAAACCTGATTTCTAATGCACCCTCCAAGTGTCAGTGCGCCGACACTGATTCACCCAATTGCCTTCGTTTCGTTTTCCTGCTCCTCTTCCTACCCCGACGTCATCCGTCCCCCGCCACCGTTCCTCTGGGTTCTCTTGGTCCTCCGAGTCCGAATAGGGTCGCCGTTCTACGATGGATCCACGCGCGCGTCGGATTTACGACGCGCAAGGGTCGGCCAGTTGGCGAGGACACGAAGACTACGCGTGTCAGAGAGACACGTCGACCGAGACTAGAAGGTAAACCTCGAGTTCTATCGAGCGAAGGGAATTACAGGTACGGCGCTACTTCGTTCCCGCTGGATCACGGGGGTAGTCGGATACCTTCGCGTGATACCGATGCGAGTACGCGGACCCGCCAGTGTTCTACTGGCACGCGACAAACTTTGCGTTCCGATCGAAGGCGTCGTTTCGGTACCGCGACGATAATCGTCGGTGCGAAGCGTAGCAGGCAGATAAATTTCGAATCGAACGGAATTCCATATTCGCCGGGAAAAGTAGAACGATTCGGTAGAAACGAAGGGAACACGGAAAATTGATCGCGCCGCGATTTACGATCCTCCCGATCGCATAACCTTTCGCTTTTAATTCCTGCCATCGCTCGTAACTCTGGTCTCCGCCGATTTCTTCGTCAAAGGGGTAAGTTATCGAAGCGAGTCGATTCGTCGAATCAGGCTTTCTCGATCTTCCTCGATTTATAGCTCCCTTCTGGACATCGCTATTTCTTACGGAATTTGCAGAGAAGAAAGGTAGGTTATCGAGAAACCCTGGGCTAAATCGACGAGTTCCGAGAGCGGTCGCGTCGCGTGACCTTTCGGTCCTCCTTCGAGGTCCCTGCTTCTCCATTCCGACGCGTGTCCTCGAAGCTTCCGCGGCGTGGAGCGATCGAATCGTTAACGAGAACGCGGAGAACTAGTTTCGAACCAGCTCCTCCTCGGGGAGTCTCGAGTTTCCCCTGGACTTTCGCCTAGACTCGCTACTTTTTCCACAAATTACACGGCAATTAACGCGGAATAAGGTTCCCTTTACGCGTTCTGCCCCTCGACCGCGTAGGAGCAGCCTGGGTTGATTATTCGAGCAAGTACTGACTCGGGCGCCGACTTGCCCCGCTATCGAGTAGCATACCCCTTGTCTGACCAGTGGCGCGCTCGTACCACTCGCTCCGCCGCGGCTCGCCCTCGTCGGTGGAGTATCCCTCGAGATCCAGCAATATCGCGCGATTTATCCACGCGCGTGCTTCCTCTCACCTGTCTATCGTATTTGCGACGACGATGACGAGTTTTGCGCGAATGGAGCTCGCTAGAACGAGATAATTCCAGGCCACGGGAGTGGTAAAACTCGATTAACGTTACAGCGGATATCAGAATGGTTCTATTTAACGCGACCCATCGAATCACCATTATGCGACACCAGTCGGTCGAGTTTTTTCGTCCCTGGACACGAATATATCGACGGGAATCGATAGTATCGTCTGCACAGACATTACGCGGCGCATCTCGATCGTTCCGGCAGTCACCTTTCCTAATCGATAACGTTCGATTCGCGGCAAATGACGCGACTCTTTGTCCAAATCATCGAACCCATCCACCCTCGATGGACAAGTTTGAAAAATTATTCGCGTATTCGCGGTCGGTAACTTTGCCAATTCCTCCGTTATTCATACTCGTCGACAGAGTCCCTTAACGCTCGCGATCCTCGACAACCGTTATCGTTTATTAAGATCGCGAGACCGTGCCGCGATGATGGACCGGTGAAATTTTCAGCGCGACGCTGACCTGGACGCTGCTCCGATGAAAATTTCACGAGCCTCCGTAGATTGCTTCCACCCCTGACGGATCCTCGAGAGCGAGAGAATCGGCGCGGAAAATGCTTCGTCTTCGCGGCGGCACGTCGATCGTCTCGAGATCGCAGGGGCCCGGCGGGCATTTCCGCGTAACCGACCTCGACAAACGGAGCGAAACGAGGTCAGGAACGACGCGTACGAGGAACGAGGGTCGTCGGTGGGCCGCTGGCTGGTCGTCCGCCTGGTCGGCCGCCTGGCCACCCCCGGCCAGGGGATGTTCCTCCGCTCGGAATCCCTCGGATCCGCTCGGACGTTGTCGTTCCCACGAACTGCCGTGGAATCGCGTTACACCGACACGTAGCAGCGCGACGCGCACCGGTGCTACGTGCTAGATCCTCGTACGCGTATGTAGACTGTACACCGTCTCGTTCAGGGCGGCCCGATAACCACGGACACCGATATCGGGCCGTGTCCGACTCGCGAGCAACCAACGCGTCATCGACCACGTGGGGCACACTCGGTCCACTCGTCTTCGATACTCGACTATCCCTTCGCGAGGATAAACAAAATCCCATGGTAGGATTCGCGCTAGTTAGTCTCGTTTCCGATTAGCGAGGAGGGTAGATCCTTCTTGGATCGAGACGAAGGAGAAGCTAAAGAGGGTGGCGGCGGTGCGGAATCGGGGGTAGCAGCGGACCGACAGGTGTGCGTCGGGGCACAGAGAGAAAGGCACGGGTTCGAAGCGAGCGTGGCGTGCGAGGACGCGGCGCGCTCGGAGGCTTCGGAACGCGAAGAGCGCGCACACTTTCGCGCAGAAACTATCGCGTGTAAGTTGCCGGGAGTGAGGGTGAGCAGGTAGCGGTGGTGGTGGAAGGAGGGCGGCAGAGGGTTGCGGCGGGGCGGTGGTAGTCGCGCGGCCGTCGGTCTAACGCGGTGCGGTCGTCATTGGGCGTCGTGACGCCGTGGCGACGCGGTCTCGGCTCGAATGCACGCTCGGTTAACGAGCACGCGCGCGCCAAGTGTGTTCGGAACGCGACACGAGGACCGAGTGCGCGACTTTTGCCGCATCGTTTTCTGCAGCCACGCTCACGCACACCTTTCGCCGTACTCCTAGCTCTGCGGCGTACTCGCGCGCGCTCACGCGTACGCACGCAGTCGCACGGTAACGCGCGCGCGCCTGTACACCGGTCAAATTCGTATCACGGAAGTTTGTGCGGATCTCTCGACGCGGTTCCGGGTTTCGTCGATCCCGTTCGATCGTCCCTCGCGTCTCGCGCGTGTTCCACGTTCCAGATTTTCCCGCGAGCGATCGTCTCGTCTCGAGATCGGAAAGAGAGAGAGAGAGAGAGAGAGAGAGAGAGAGGGAAAGAAAGAGAATGTTCGGTGCGTCGGGGCGACGGGGTTGACGCGGCGTCGAGATCCTTGTTCCGGTTTGTCGCGAGATCGCGTTTCGCGGGATCGCTGGAGGACCGCGAGGGGAAGAGAGTGTCGGATCGATCGCGATCGCCGGATAGAATCGCGGAGCGGAAAGTGCGCGAGACCGAGTGACACGGAAGATACGAGGAGAAGAGAAGAGGAGAGAGAGAGAGAGAGAGAGGGAGAGAGAATCCCAGGGTGGTTAGAACGACGAGTGTTCGGTTCGGTTGGATCGAGTCGAAGGTGGAGGAGACGTGGCACGATGAGACGGACGACGAGAGAATGTCGCGCGGTCACCGCGGGATTCGTCTCAGTCGTCCGACTGGTCGACCGGTGGCCGTTGCAAGCGTCGAAGAGGAGCGCGTCGCGGAGAGGCTGAGGGACAGGTCATCCTCGATGCCGTATCATGATCTGATGGGACGAGTCATGTCACGTGTCGTCGGGACGCTGCTCGCGCGCTCGACGCTGCTGACGAGCGTCGCCGCGGCCCTCGTCGTGCTCTCGTGCTGCTGCAGGTGTACTCGCGCCAGCGAGTTCCCGGAAAGAGAGTGCTGCGACCTGATATTCCCGATCCCGGAGCCGACCGGAAGGTCCTCGTCCGCGCCGACGCCAACGGGCAGAAGCGGTGAGTACGCGATCTTTTCCTTTACTCGTTTTACGCCTTTTATTCGCGTTCGCGTTTTCCTCTACCGAGACTGGCTAGCCAGAGCTGATTCGTGGTAAACAGTCGCGGTCCGTCTGGCCGGCGTTTTCGTTCCACGAAACGTCAAAGCGGACCACGATCCTCGTCGTTTGATCGGTTCTTTGGGAAAACACGGATCGCGAATTCGCGAGAACGCGCGCGTTTGCGTTCGCGACGGGTCTCTTTGCGGAGGAACCGGATGTCGGGACGAGTTTCCCGGTCGTTCGATTTACGCTCGCGGATCGATCGAACGCTCGAATCCGGGTAAGGTCGACGTTTCCGTATCGCGGGCCGCTCTCCGGCGAGCGCGTTTTCTTTTTTGGAAACACTCGTTTTGTCGGTGGTTTGATAGAACATTCCGGCAACGAAGGCGGGTGGTTGGGGGCGGGATAGAAGGGAAGTCAATAATTGGACAGGAACCGATATAACTGTACGTATAGCCTGGCCGTATTTTGTTAGCCAGCGAGCAGCTATTACAATTTCCGTAGAGGGATGAGCGGATTATTAATTCAATTAGGATCAGTTATTAATTCAACAACGACGGTTTATCGACGCGAGTTCGATGCGGCGGTAATTTAAGTGGCGAAACAACCGCATAAACGAATGGCCCGTTTTCCAGGGGAACGCGAGTCACCCTCGACCTACTCCTTACCTCGGCCTTCCCGCATCTCTCGTTACTCTCGATTTCTTCCACGGATAGATAGGCGTTTCTCTTTCGCCTTTTCGTTCCCCGCTAATTAACCGACTAACGTTTCCGCCGCGTATTAATCTTCGTCCGCGTGGCGGATGCGCCGACGAACGCGGAGCTAACCGATAGCCGTAGGGGCTTTTTCGTCCGCGAAATTTCCCTCGAAAATATTCTCCGCGCTGTCTCTTCGATCGATGCCTTTAATTAACTCGAATTTACGGGCCACGGTCCTTTTCCATTCGCCGTTCGCCATTCGAATCCGCGGATTATACGACCGACCTGGGTACCTTTTCTCTTCCACCCCTCGCGGTCGCTCGCTCTCCTCTTCACCCTCTTTCCATCCGCGCGCTTCCACGAGTACCGATACCGTGTTCGCCTTCGTACGTACCTTTCCGCGTATTTCCTGCCTCTCGCCTTCGAAACTCGAGAACGAAACGCGGCACCCCCGAGTCGAAGACGACCCCTGCAAAAGTGTCGGCTAGTTGAAGAAACGGTGATCGACGGTGCTTGATAGTTGCCGGCGCAGTGGCGCGCTGCCGAAAATCGGGACGTTCTTTCGAATCCGGTTTCGGGTCGGGGTTAATGGAGACAACGGCACTTAGCGGGACACACGCGAGGGGTTGGTGGTCGACATTGTCGTAGGGAGCGGTGTCTGCGGGCATTTCAACCCCGCGTGGGACGAAGTTCGATCGAGGTCGGGCACGATCGAAGGTTATCCGGAGCGTCTATAGCCGAGGAGTAAGTTTCACGGAGGAAGTCATTTATACCCCCTCACGGAATTCCTTGCTGGCGAAATATCGCGTACGTGCTCATAGAGTGTTAGTAATGAAAGACGATCAGCTTCATCGGCCTTTTATATTCCTGCTCTCCCCCCCTCTCTCTCTCTCTCTCTTTCTTTCTCTCTGCCTGCCTGGAAGGTCGAGGCCCTGAACAGCGTACCATCCTCTCGCGTCTTCTCGCTGCAACCCCCGTTTCGCTTCGATCGGCCAGCTCGTTGGCGGGAATAAAAATCAGTTCCTTTCCCGGATCTGTCTGCGAGCAGAGTTTCACGGGCGACGAGTTTCGCGTGGAGGATCAGCGGAGAGAAACGGAGAAGAAGAAACGAAAGCTTTAACCTTTGCGTGGGAAATTAAGCGGTGTTCCCGGCGTCGTTCGTTTCGCTCCTCGTCGATGGAGGAACGATCGAGATTTCGGAATTCTCGGTGGTCCGGGTTCTATAACCGTCGGAGCAATTAACCGTCGCGAATATCGCTTTTACCCGTGCCGGTGTATCGGGGCGCAGTGGGCGGAAAAGGAAACTTAAGAGGATCGCGAGGGGGTGGAAAGAAGGGCGCGCGCGGAAGGTCGCGGAAGGCGGAGGCACGAAAGCGTGCGGAAGAGAAGGCGACAGCCCGTCGAGAAGGAATCCTTGTGCGAAAAAAAGCGCGGGCACAAAGCTCGCGTTCGCTCGCTCCTTCGCTCGCGTGCAAAGCGGCCGAAGATTTTTCCAAGAGCTCGCGAACGCCGTCCTACGACTCCTGGCTTAAATGTCGCGAGTCAGCCGGCAAAAAGGAGGAAACTCGCGGAAAGGGAGGCAGCGAGAGGGAGAGAGGGAGAGAGGGAGAGAGTGCGGGCTGCGGCTGAGAAAAAGGAGGCGCGCAGCCCGCGGAGAAAGAGAAAAGAGGGGAACGAGAAGTGGCCCATTGACGTTAAATCGCACGGTGAGGCGCTTTTAAATGTCCTCGCTATTTTCATGCGACCTACTTTGCCAGCCGCACCGTAACGAGGTTGCTTTCGAATAAATTCGAAGTGCCTTCGAATCCCGCCACCGCCCCTCTCTCTCTCGCCGTTCCCAAAATTTTCCACCGATCGAATCGGCCTTGCCGCTCCGATGCTCGCCCCTTTCCGCTTTACGTCCGATACAGCGGCACCATCTCCTACCCGATCGTATCCCCGGGGAACGCGAATCGTATATATCCGGTTTTACGGGAGAAAATCTCGCGAGTACACTGGCCGCGTTACGCCGGCTTCCATGGATATTTATAGTCCGGCGTGATTAATTAATCGCGGCCGAGAGAGACTGAACGCGCGTTGCGGGATAGCCGTCGGTCCTTCCTTCCAGGTTCGATCCACCTTCGATCCATCTTCGATTCCATTTTCTTATCCCCGTGGATCGTTTGGACGGGACGCCGTGCATGAAAAATGGAGTTACTAGTTTGAATCTCGCAGGAAACTTAATATTCCGCGTGATGCACGCGTGCATAGAAATCAGTGGCGCGGGTATCCTCCCGTCTGTTCGTTCGGCTCTTTCGGTGGCCGCGGCTGCGAACGTATGCGCATATTTTCGCGCGCCAATGCCATTAGTCAGACGAGGGTGCGATTTAAAAGAACGGCCGCAATATCGCGACGAACGGTCCCGATAGCGGTCCGCTCGATTAAATTACCGAACGGTTCGATTTCTCCGCTCCCGACCCGCCGTATAATTAATTATTCGACAAAATTTCATTATCGGAAATAAATTCGAGTGTCGTGTCCGCTTTGATAGCGGCGCCGTCGATCGTGCTCCCGCTCGATTCTAAACGTTCCCGTGACAAACGCGTAGCTCGCTATCGCCGCGCGCGCGTTATCCTATCTGCCCGCTTCTCTTTCGCACCCTCGCCACTCGCGATCGACTTTTCGCCGGACACCGAGTGGTTCGATGAAAAATTCCACGCGAAATACTCGCGATGGAAGATTACGAAGACGAACGCGCGCGTAACTCGCAGTTTCGCGGGTTTCCGTTCGAACGCGACGCACGATTTTCCAGCGGATCTCTTGGAAGCGATGGCGTCTGTCGGAGCAGAAGGTCGCGACCGGTATTCTTATTTTATTTCGCTCGACCTCGTTTCCTTTCTTCGACGGACCATCCTCCTGTCCTCGCGGCGACAGCGATTCGAAGTAGCTCCGTTATTACTACTCGTATCGCGGTAAAGGGAACACCTCGAATTACGAGAATCCTCGTCAAAGAAATGGCTAATTAATTGGCCGGCAACCTCGGCCTCCTTGACCCGATATACGCGTTTCCTCTCTGAACTCGACCCTCTGCCGTGACCCGAATCGTCGAAACGGTTCGCGAACCCACCTCTCGTTGCCTTTTCGATCTTAACCGGGCCACGGTTCCTTCGTGCTCGAATTTTCGCCGCGAGCTCCCCGATGCGTCCAGGCCACACCGCGATCCTAGGCTTATCTCTCTTCCCTATTTTTCCCTCCGTCTTTTTAATCCCTTCTCCGCCGCTTCCCGTTCGCAACCGGGAGGATTAATCGCGGGAGGAGGGAGACTCGAAACCTCGTTTACCGATATTATTACGGAACGTCTGCGGCGGAACCGGGAGGGAAATCGGGTCGTGCCGATAGACCGGGCGGCGCTCGATTTGATTAATTCCCGATCTCGAAGACTGCCGCGCGCGTAATTCGGTCGGCGGCCGTAACCGGGACACGCTTTATACATATTTCATACGGAATGCTGAACGGAAAAACAAAGACAGCCTCCGGACGCTTAATCCCCGAAGTATTTGCTCTGTCGCTGCTCGAAATTAATTCCGCGATCGTTAATCACGCGGGATGACGTTTCGCGTACACCGCGCGAGGAATCGACTTTCCACGGCGTCCGCTCGCGAGGAGCTGCCGCATTCCTTCCAGCAATTTCTTCGTCGTACCTCCAGCCAACTGCCAACGTCGTCTTCCGCGTTTACGCCCTTTTTCCGACCCCGCTCCTTCGTCCTCGGCGACCGGTTCGACGCTCTCTCTCTCTCTCGTCCCATCCTTCGCGCCGCTTTTCTCTCCGATTCCGCCGATTCTCCGCGCCGGTTTCGCCTTTTTCTCCATTCGCGCCAAGAATTCCGCTTCCCCGTCTAAGCGGAGATTAGGAGGGGCGATAAGGAGATAAAGGGAGCCGGAGAAATAGGTTGGCGGACGATACCGATGGCTCTTAGATTTTTATCCTTCGTAATTTGCGGCGATGGACGGTGAAAAGTATCGATTTTCCCCGAAGAAAGCCCATTAACGGGTGAAATCCGACGGGAGAAAGCGACCGGTCGCTTTTCCCTCTGTTCTCTTCGTCCGCTCGAGCGTCGTCTGCCCAGACGCCGCGCGTGTATTAAAACACCGAGCAAAATCCAACATCGGCTAAGAGCTACCGGTTTAATTGGTCAGATTTTTCCCTTCCCGCGACCAACGGGAGCTTCCTCTCTTTCTTTTTCCCTCTCTCCCGCTTTCTTTTTTTTTTTTTTTTTTTTTT